CATTGGCCAGGCATACCACTACCTGATCATCACCTCCCAAAGTACCTATGAGAAAATATTATTCTCCCCATTTTTATAAGCAAGTGAACTTAATTAGGCCATGCAACTTGACCAAAGACCCCCTAAGTTGAATTCCAAAGGTTTTCTGTATTCTCCATACTTTTCTTCATTCAGGTAATGACTAACCTGGAGGCCATGTGGAAGTTGTCAGTAATTTGGTTGCCATGATCTTCAACTCTAGAACTTCCAAGTCTAAACTGCAAAGTGAAGTGATTTCCTGCCTGCCACAGTCCCAGACCACTTAGTACTAACAGTGTTGAAGATATGATAGAAGTTAACATCAAAACATCAGCTTTAGCCATATTTCCTACCTCCTGCTTGACAACATCATTGCTCGGCTCCACAGATACCCTCGGAGAAAATACTACTACTGGCTCCATTTCGAGATGTGGAAATTAGGTTACACAAATGTGGTAACTAATTGAGCATCAGAGATAGGATTAGAATAGAGAGAATCTCACTATTGAGCCCTTATTTATAAAAACTGCATACACAGCCTTCCAGGAACTAGCAAGTGACACATGGCACAGAAAAATACTAGTTACACAAAAGGAGTCATTAGTAATCTGTTGTCAAGCAAAGCGTTTGTAAAAACTATAGAGGGTAGAACTGTTCATTTCTCCTTAAATATTTTCCTAAATATTTTTATTTAGCCTAATTGGTGACTGGAAGGTCAAGCCCTAAATTATAGCTTTAGAAAATTAGAAGAAAAAGTAACATTTAATTTGCATTTACTACGTGCCAGGCACTGTACTAATATTTTTACATTTACTACTTCATTCTATCTTTGGGAAAGTCCTGCAAAGTATGCATATCAGCTGTAGTTTTACAAAAGATGGTACAAAAGGACTGAGAGAGAGCAGTTCTCCAAGTTTTCATACTAATAAATATGTTTATACTGTACTCAGTGAGAGAGTAACGCAGAACTCATCAAGGCACAGTCCTGACAGTTCCATCTCAAGATGTTTAACTCATAGTATGATTGTATCGCATAACACATATACCATATCCTCCTGAAAAGTTAAACATAAATCAAACTCAAATTCCTGTCTTTCCAACCACTTGGGTTATCATTTTAAAAATGCTTTATCTTCATTTATTTGTATTCCCTAAAATTTTTATTTTGCCCATCTGCCCTTCAGTTCCCCAAACTATCAATCATCTATTAAGCCAACAACCTAAATTTAGCAAGGCTGTCCACTATTTTATGGTATTAATGCTAAACTTAAAAATCATTTTGATTCAATACACTATCTAAAATTTAATTGCTATATGAGTATGAACCTGCATACATTTTGCTTTCAAAATCATAAGATCAGTTTTGCAACATTCAGCAGCATTTTGGCCAGTGGGAAAACATACAATTGTATGTATGGTGGCAAAAGAGTTCATGTGACCTAAAAGACTAGAAAACGTCTTCCATTATTTCAAAGGCCCCTTACTGGAAAATTTAGGTTTCTTTGATCTTCAGTGTTTACCCTAAAGGATTTTTAACCTTTGGGTAAAATTGGAAAAAAGCTTCATAACTCTTTTTTAATGAGTTGAAAGAAATCCACGGGTTCATTAGATAAAGAGAGTTTGTTTCTTATTCCTCAGAGGGCACGGATATTTATCTGAATTATCTCGTGCCTAGGAAGCTTATTTCTTGAATCTGAAACTGCCCCGGGTACAGGGCACAAACTGTTCAAACTACATAAAAACTATCTATTATGTTTACCTATATTTTCTGACAGCTGTAAAAAATTACCACTAACTAAATGGCTTACGACAACAGAAATTTATTCTCTTATAGCTATGGAGGCCAAAAGTCCAAAACAAGTCTCGCCAATCTAAAGCCAAGGTGTCAGGATGGCGCCTGTGGCTAAGTGGGTAGGGCGCCAGCCCCATATACTGAGGGTGGCGGGTTCAATTCCAGCCCTGGCCAAACTGCAACAAAAATATAGCCAGGTGTTGTAGGGGGCACCTGTAGTCCCAGCTACTTGGGAGGCTGAGACAAGAGAATCTCCTAAGCCCAGGAGTTGGAGGTTGCTGTGAGCTGTGTGACCCCACAGTACTCTACCAAGGGTAATAAAGTGAGACTCTGTCTCTACTAAACAAATAAATAAATAAAGCTGACTCTTACTGGAATCTTTAGGGAGAAATCCTTCCCTGCCTCTTCCAGCTTTTAGAAGTCACTGGTATTCCTTACTTTGTGAAGACATCACTCTAAATTCTGCTTCTGTTATCACATTGCCTTCTCTCCTCTCTCTTTCTCATATACTGTCTCCCTTTTACAAAGATGTCTGCAATTACATCCAGCCCACCTAATAATCCATGTCAGGGTCCTTAATTTAATCACATCTGCAAAGTCTCTTTTCCCATACCAGGTGTGGCATTCAGATGCCTAAGTATTAACAAGTGAACAACTTTTGTGGGTTGGAAGGTGGGGGGCATTATTCAGCCTTCAACATGTAGCAAATATATTAAAAATAGGGGAATTAAAGGAAGAAAAAAGTCTTTTAGTAACTAAGTTATTTCTCCGGGGCCTCCAGATGACAACACCTGATGGTAACTGCTGCCCTGAAAACCTGACATGAGCTGCGTTCCTCTGCTGTCAGCTCAATCTCTTTCAAACATGGAGACCAAAGTAGAAGACAACTCTGTGGAGGTATCATTCATAGAAAAGGGGGTGTGAGTGCAGCGTGATGGTCAGATACAAGGGGATATTCTGAGGGGGTAGGGAGATAAAACGTGAAAGCGAATGAGAGAAAGTGAGCTAACTCTGCCTCACAAATCTCAAGTTTACTTGTTTAGAATACTGTCATACCAAAATAAATGTAAATATGTCATAAAGGCTCACACTTTGAATACTGATTTTATAATATGATGTTCGACATTACTTGGCTGGACTTACACTTATAGGAATAATATTAATTTAAAAGACCTGGCTATTTAATGCTAATATGAAGAGGGAGTATGTGGGCTCTACAGCTAACTGATGTACTCATTCTGTTGCTGCTGTTGTTTTCCCTGAAACCCGCTACAAGGAAGCCTAAAATAGACGACGAGAGGTATCAGATACATCTTTTAAAATTTCAACCTCTGGACGTTTCTTTTTTTTCTTTTTTTAACCTCTGGACTTTTCTGTGTATCACATAGACTCAATAACTTAGTGGAAAGGTGTCCATTAATAAACTGCCTTATGTATATTTTCCTTATTTTGCCTGCCTCAGGACTAAAATTTTCTGCACAAAATCCCAAGGTTCTCAATAGCCAAAGACTTTGCTAAAAATCTGGTTTTCTGATCATAACCCTTTTCACCTGAGAGAAGCTCCCAAAGGCAGAAAAACGTTCTTAATAAAGAGTTGTTTATTGTCACCTTATACAATAGATACTGAGAGAAGCATTCAGAAAATTCATATATAAAAAATAAAAGAATATTTGTAGGTTTAAATTGGTGTGCATTTGGAAAGAACGTAGCTGAAAAGCAGAAAACAGCAAAGGAAATCTGTCTCCTGCAACAACAATTTCTATTAAAAACAATCTCTATCGCTTATCCTCCTTACAGAAGTCAATATTGTTCTCTGTCTGAATTCTCCACTGTTAATTAATGAATTGCTGCTTCTATTTCAATGGAGGCTGTAAGTAGGAGTTATCAGAATATTTCCAAGGACAAAATATTAATTCTTCATACTGAATTAAAATATTAAAAAATTTCCTTTGGCCTTCACTATATGGAATGAGAAGTGCCATTTATTTTTTAATTATCATTATTTTTTAATAAAGCTATTTGTCATTAATAAATACCAAGGGAAAAACTACAAGCCCAACATGGCCATTTTCTATAATTATAGCTACTAACAATTGAAAACATAATTATGTGAGGGAGAAAAACTTTTTACTACATACAGTGCCTACACAGGTCATGCAAATACATTCCTAAACATAGTCATTTCCTTTTGTTGGCATAGACCAAAAGTAACTATATTCTTCAACACAAGAATGAAATAAAGTTTACGATGTGTGAAATCAAGGAAATCAAGGAGGAGTAGCACTTGAGAAAAGTGGGGGAAATATTATATTTTGGACAGCAATTGGAGTTTACAGCAAAGACCATTGGAACATTTGATGTATAATTTCACTTAATTGGGAAGGAATGATCTTGAAGAAGTAGATATTTGATAGTATGTATCAAAGAAACACTTTCAGAAAGGGATTCCATGAAAGTCTTGGTTGCTTAGCAACCACTGACCCATGGGGACAAGTTAATTTTTAGCCTGGTGTAGGTCAGTGAGTCTCACTGTGATTGCTGTGAATCTCATGTATGGAATTCTCCAAACACATCAGATGAGAAGTAGTCACTCCTACATGGCCTTCCACCCAAGAATCTCTCACCACCAAGAGCACATGTTTGAGAAAACTGACTTTTTCTCTTAATAGGTCAATGCCTTACCCTTTTCTTTGAGTAACAATGTTGAGACAACCAAAATGTTTACCTTACTTCAGAGAGCAGAACCAAGTCCTGCAGTATTTTGCAATAGTCAAGAGAGTAGAAAAATACAGGTCCCCCGCTTCACTTGAACCTTGTTAACCTTTTAATAACCATGCTTCAGCAGCCCACAGACACATGAACTCTTGTTAACCTCTGATGGACAGGCAAGTGTTTGCTTATTAACATTAAAATCACTATTCACTGAAGCTATGGCCAACAGATAATAAGTAATGGGTGATGGCCAAAGTGGCAGTCGGGGATACTTTGAAGAATCAAAATAAACTTATTTTTGTATGTGCGTGAAGACAACAGCAGCTGTGGATAAACATCACTCTAATGAGTTGCTGCCATGTTATTGTCCCAGCCAGAGAGAAGGAAGAGAGTCTGGAGGGGATCCCAACCACCCCCGGGAAGATATAAAAAGTCCTCAGGCTGCAGCCACACCACACCTGCACGACTACCGCTGAGCATGCACTCGGGCTCCATGTCTGTCCTCCGCCGCCCTCGGGTTTGCAATGCTGCGTCCTATAGAACTCACTGTTACATGCCAGTGACTCCTTCTGTTACTGTCCGCCCCAATGATGGAAGCCCCACTTATGGACACTGCTTACCCAGTAGCTACCAAGGAAATCTCTGGCTCCTGGATTATTGCCCAGAATCCTACTGTGAAGCACCCACCTGCGAATCTCCCAGCTGTGAGCCCAATTCGTGTACCACAAGTTGTGACCCACCAGACTCCTGTGTGCCCTGTAACTCCCCATCAGCGGGCCAAGTCTCCAGTGTCTGTGAAACTACCAACATTGGTCCCAGCTGCAGCCGGTGCTCCCAGACCAGGGGGTATGTATCTGATTGCACACCCACTGGATGTGCATCCAAAGCCTGCCAGACCCTGGGCAATGGTTTCAACTACTTTGGGCAACTTAACTGCTCACTCAAGAGTATCCAATCACTAAGCCACTGCAGACTGGGTGGTTTGGGATACAGAAGCTACCAAAATCTTGGCTTTATGCCCATTGGCTTCCCAGCATCATGCTATATTGCCAGCAGCTGCCGACCCCAAAGCTATTTAATGAGAGGTTGCCAATACTCAAGTTATAGGCCAATGAGATGCCGACCACTGGGCTATTTATATAGAAGCTTCCGGTCTCTGAGCTGTATACCTAGTACCTTTCCACCTCTGAGGTATTTATGCAGTAGTAGCAGACCTCTGACTTGCTATTAATCAATTTATAACATATATAGAGCTGGAAATTTCCCAAAGGGGCCAATTTTAAGTAGTAGAATTTCTAACATTCTGCTGAATTGCTTTATGCATCTTAGGAATCTTATTATGTCAGCCTCAAATGTAACTTCCAGGCTTGTGAACCACAGCCATTATTGCCAGCTAGCTTTTGTTCTATTACTTGTTTATTACGCTTTGTGTTAAAAGCTGATCCTGAAGGTAATATGATAATTTCTGAGATTGATTACGATGGACTCCCTGAAGAGACTCCATGAAAGACAGCCATCACCAGCTTTGTTATCTCAGTCATCATTGATCCTTGGCATCTACCTTTCCTGATGAAGTGAGATCTGCCTCCTTGCTTTGCTGATTCCAGGATGCAAGTTATCTCTGAAGGTTTTGCTTTTTATCAGTAGGTTTGTCAACTTGAATGAGGTGAGAGGTAACATTATCTTTAGCATAATGAAGAGAGCTATTTCAGCCTTTCTCTACTGACTGATTATAAGATCATGCAAATGGTAGTGGGGACTGAAGCTCAAAAACAGAAAAAAATAAATGGAAGACTTCAGGAAGTCTCTTCTAAAGTAGTCAAAAACAAGATTGGCTGGAACATGGTTTTTGTCCCCAGTGACGAGGAGAAAGCCTTGGAAGTAGCTGAAACACAAAATTATTTGTCAAAAGAATGACAAAATATTGTTACAAACTCTTTATGATTGTGTTTGGGATTCTCTGTTTGGGATTCTCCTATAATCTCACCTTGCTTAATTAGTGTGTTCTGATTCTAGAAAATGTCCTGGTTCTTAGTTGTAAATAAATTTATATTTGGAAAGAATGGTTTTCCTTGTGCTTTATTCCACATTCACTAAAGTTGCATCCCTGCTCTGGTCAATATGTATAGCATATTCACAAAAGTATATGTACACATGAAGTATATGTACATATAAAAATGTAAAAAAAAAAAAAAAAAGAAAGAAAGAAATCTCAGCTTTGGGCTTCCTTTTTGTTTTGTTCTGTTTTAAATACATTAAGTATATGTCTCTTACAATGTCTGTGATTGATATTGATACAGGGAAAGTTAAGTAAATACTTGTAAAATAAACCAATGTAATACAAAATACATAAAGTACTAAATGTATGTGTATTTACCTACACAGTATGTGTAATTATTGGTTTCGTAGAAAAGTATTTGGCATGTGAGTAGATTTAATGTTGAATTTCTGGAGAAGTGATTTAATTCATATAAAGTTCTCATTCAAAAGAAATGAAAATAAAGTCATCTATCTTAGTGGTAAAAATAAAGTGATATATACCCTAAGCATTTTTGTAAATAAAAATTAAATCATGTTTAAAGGCAAAAAGAAGGATCCATGGACATACATGCAACTGAAGTTTGGAAGGATGAGAAAGAAATATCAGTATCAATAATCACCATCTAGAATTAGAATGTACAGAGCCCACAAAGGATTGTACAATGATTGGATCATTGTCCATAGTGACTATCTATTGACAATACAGACCTAGTTCAATTCCTTTAACATAAGATAGGTATTAATAAGTATTTGAAAATAATTACTGCATATCCCAGCTGAGCATTTAGAAGTACAAACTAAACACATATTCCTTCTCTTTACCAACCTATTTTTTGAGATGTTGAGTGGAACAACTTGGAGATATCCCAGGCTCCAAGAACTATCCAGGTGAGTAATACATTGAGACAAACACAATATTGTCTTGATTGCTTTAAGTATAATATGAAAACTTTGGGTGAAGAAAGATCACTTCTAACTAGAAGAACAAGAATTCTCTCAGTAAGAAAATGGCATTGCCGTGATATCTGAACGTTAAAGTAACTAGGATGTGTACTCAGTAATGGGGAAAAAAGTATAGGGGTGATCGGTAAAGTTTAAAGGAGATGTGGTGCAGTTTGAACAGAGAAAAGCAAACCTAAAATCATTTGTTTTTTAATTAAAGAGAAAAATATAGGAAATTAGATTTAGGACCTGGGGTAGGGAAGATTTTATTAAATAAGAATAAACAAACAAATAAGCAATAGTTAATAAAAGATTTGTCAATGTGGCTACATCAATAGCAAAAACTCATGATAATAGAATATATCAAAAAGAAGTTAAAAATAAAGAATGTGTAGGTGTCTGTGTGTGGTGGGGGGTAACAAAGCAATACGATGATTCCCTGAAATGTCCATTCAATTTTTCTATAAAGATTGAGCCTGAAAACACAGTCTGTCCAGAAGAAATCAAATGAAATAAATACAAAATAAGAAAAAGATCAAATAAAAGTAATATCAAAAAAATCAGGATTGAGAGAAAATGTGTACAGTGTGTACCATAAATTTACTGTCCAAAATGTTTAAGAACTCTTGTAAATAAAAAGAAAGACAAATGACTCAGTAGAAAATAAGCAAAAAGGATGAGTGGGGATAAAGGAAATAAGTTCAAGTTGTCAATAAAAATATTGAGATTTGATCAACATGATTAGTAATTAGAGACACAAGATATTATTATTTTTACTATCCATTGGGCAAATATTTTTAAGTTAGTTATGTGCCAACTTAAGCAATATATTCCCAAACACTACAGAAGCAAGTCAAATTTAACAGAGCCACTGTCTATGTGAATATTTAAAATGCACACACTTTATGACTAGGTAATCCAACTTCACACTGCCCATGCTAAACTGGCCAGCTGAAAATCATGGTTTCTGCATTATTTTAGAAGCAAAGTAAATCTTTGATCAGATGTCATATGTATTATCTCAGGACAATTGGATAAAGTTATTTACTGTGCCCACAGCCCTTGATCTTTTGATCTGTGAGTTTAAACCCATTGGCAATTGAGACTCAGTAAATCACCAGATTGTATATCTACAGTCAGATCACTAACAAATCAGAAGAACATAGATGGTCTGATTTCACCTTTGATTTCTGTGTCTTATAATCTGGAGTCCAGATTACTCTATCAGGGGTATCCAACATGCAGCTAGTGGGCCACATGCAGATTCTTTGAGGACTGTTTTGCTTATCTACTTATCGGATACCACCTAAAGTTATGTAGGGAGCTTTTCTTTTGCTCATCAGCTTTGGTTAGTGTTTGTGTATTCTAATACATAATGTGTATTCTAATACATTCTGTACATAATGTGTGGCCCAAGGCAATGGGCAGCAGAAAAAAAAGGTGGACACCCCTGCTCAATTTTTGACTACTCTCATTCCAAGGTCTCCTGTATTTCAATTAAAAAAAAAATTCAAAAGTAGGAAGTAATTATCTGTTTTTTGAGGGGGTTGTTTTGTTGTTTTTTGAGAGAGAGTTTCACTTTGTCATCTTTGGTAGAGTTTTGTGGCTACATAGCTCATAGCAACCTCAAACTCTTGGGCTCAAGTGAGTCTCTTGCTACAGCTTCCCAAGTAGCTGAAATTACAGGCACCTGCCACAGTGCCCAGCTATTTTTAAGAGACAAGGTCTCACTCTGGCTCAGGCTGGTCTTGAACCTGTGAGCTCAGGCAATTCACCCACATCGGCCTCCCAAATGCTAGGATTACAGGTGTGAGCCACTGTGCTCAGCCTATGGAAGCATCTTATTTTTTAATCAAAAACATGATCTCCAAATTTACCTTTAGATTCTATCTGAACATTAAAAATTATGCTGAAGCTTCTTTATCTAAATTTAAGATTATTTCTATAAAAAGGGAATAAATATTTGAAGTTCAGAACTTTTTCGTTCAGGAAACAATTATGATTTTAAAAAAAATTATCATCATGATAGTGATTTTTTACTGTGAACCATTTCTCACCTACTAAGAATAAGAAATGAAAAATTATTCTTCTAGAATCTGTTCTTTCTTTTCAGTCTGCATCTTTTCTCAGGGGAGATGCAGAAGGAGAGAGAGACAGAGAGAGAGAGAGAGCGGGCAAAAGTCTGGGAGAAGGAGGGGGAGGGGGAATATTTGCCAAGATATGGAATCAATCAAGTGCCCATCAACACATGAATGAATTAATCCACTATGATATATGTATACCGTGGAATACTATTCAACCATAAAAAGGTGAAGACTGGATCTTTTGTATTAACCAGGATGGAGTTGAAGAACATTCTACTTAGTAAAGTATCACAAGAATGGAAAACCAAGTATCCAGTGTACTTAATTCTAATATGAAACCAGTAGATGAACAAATACATGCCCACACAAGAGAAAAACACAATTAAAGTCAAGTGCAGGAAGGGAGAGGCATGAAGGGGAAGAGGGGAAAGAAGGGAGAAGAGAGGGGGATTGGTGTGCTCTCAAGTAATGTAAGGGTATATGGCACACCTCCTGAGAGTCACAACTACAACTTGGACTCTATTTAACCTAATCATTTGTACCCTAGTATAAAGCAAAAAAAAAAAAAAAAAAAAAAAAGGAGGGAGAGGAGAACAGAAAGTGTGAAAAGAAAGACAGGACAGGAGGAAAGGGCAAGAAGGCAGGAGATTGCTCACACCTTTTCTAGAAACGTCCTTTTCTGTCCCCACATAAGAATCATAAACTTTAAAACTCACAACCTGAGCACCCTGGTAAGCTAGAGAAGCCCTTACTCTGGAAACTAATACACTTCATCCTGCCCTGGGTCTCTTCACCACGGTGGGTTGCATCTGAATCTGAATTCCACCTCCTATAGTCAAAAGGCTTGGAATTCCCTGCTCATTGATTTTCAGAACCAAGGAACAGAATCTGGTACCAAGTTTGTGATGGATCAAGCACAGATGCACTCAGACAGTTCACACACACAGTCTTTATTAAATAAGCAGGAAAACAAAGCAAAAGTCCATCCCCAAAGAGAGATGGGTCTATCTCCATGTATAGAGAAGGCCATGGGGTCTTAATTGATCTCCATTCTTATGCCTGTGGCTAACGACTATGCCAGGCAATAGCAGGAATATTCTTCATTTTTCTTAGAAAGAAGTGAAAATTTCTTAGGACTTAGGGCCCTCACCATTTCTAGCCCCTG